TCCGAAAATGTCTCACCTATATGTGAAACCACTATTTTAACGTTAATTTTAAGTACATAACAAAAACCGTGCAATAACTTCTCATACGTTGCTCAGTTGGGGTGTTTGAATATCATCATGTCCTACTCAACACCACGAGTATCCCCATATTTTTAGAATAATTTTCTGACGTCCCACGCACCCTTACATGCCGACCAAGGCACGGCCACACACGCCGGCCATACGCAGGCACGTGCCTAGCACACTGACGGAATCTTTAACGTCGTTAGGGAATATTCCGCTAAATAGTAGCATATACCGTTAACTTTACCTAACGCCGTTAGTATATACTGTTAAAGTTGAAGGAATATTCCCCTTCCTTCTCCGGTGGTTCGCTGGATTCCGACGCCGTTAGCCACTGCATCGTCGGAAACTGGAAAAATCTTTAACCTTAATATCTTCCTCGTGTTTCAACCAAATTTCACAAACTTTATATCAATTTGAAGCCCTAAACGAGTAGAACATGTTCTTACCTTTTAGAGGTCCTAAAACCGACGAGAAGTTGTTGGAAAATTCTTCGAAATTCCGGCTAAACCTGGAAACCCACAGTTGAGCTTATTTCGATGTTCAAACTTAACCAAAATTAGTCTAAAACACTAAAGGAGTTGTATTAATACCTTTCTAAGTCTCAAAAACAAGTAAAACCTCGACGATCACGTCGAGGTAACAGGGTACTCCGCCAGAACTTCTAAGTTCTCGTGTCCCCGTGAACTGTTCTTTGTCCCAAAAGTGTCACTAGACTCGTGGAGTCACAAGGAATATGATGGTGACCTCCAATCACTCGATATGTGGGTGATTGATGGTGTTTGAGGACTGGAGGAATCGGATCGTACGGATAGAAAGAATTTTCGAGAGAGAGAGAAAGAACAAGGCTGCACGTGTGTGTGTGGTTTACGAGGTTGGTTACCTAAAACAACCTCAAGCCCTGATTGGGCTACCAAACCCAAGATCCATGCAATTGGATCAAACTAAAAGAACCAACCCAATCTCCCTTATTTCAACATAACATTTTCTCTGCATACCCAACTCGGCCCTAACTTTCATCCACGCTCTTGTAACATCGAATACAACTTAATCACGTCAATGAAAAAAAAATTGAGACTATATACATACATCCACGTCACAAGGCCCACAAAGGCAAAATAGTCATTTCCACGCACTCGAGGATAAAATATATTTTAATTCGGGACGGGTCATCATATGTTATCTCAAAAAGAATTTGGGAACATTTCAATCTTAAAAAAGCCAAATTCTGGCAAAGTTAGATATCATCACTTATAGATTAGTTTTTCATATCTCAATCTTATTCGTTAGTTGGTTTATCTAAAATCAGACAAGATAAGATTTCATCTAATGACTAAATTGTAATGCCTTTCAATTTAGGTATGTTGTTTGTTTATGTTTTCGGTTTAGGTCTCTAAACTCCCAATGTCATTTTAATATGCAGTGTGTTTTTATTTGGAAATTAAGAAAAGTAAGCCCTTTTAGACGTAGAACATCTTATATCATTTTATATCTCCAGCATTAACACATACAAATAAAATGGAGGAGGACCTTTGGAACAAAAGAGAGTATGAGTATATTCGCAAGTAGGGGGAGAGTGGAAAACTTTGGCTCACATGGGTAGCTACTTTTCTTGTGGGATCCACTTCTTTTTGGTGCTGGATGTAGCCTAATTTTTTGCTACACAGGGAAGGAAGTTGCTAGCCCAAGTGGTGGACCTAACACCATTTTCCAGCTTATTGGGGATAAAATTTCTTACTAGGGCTTCAAATGTAGTAGCTTCATGAAGGATAAAACCCTCATGAGGATGCTTTTAGGCTTGCGCCGTCACTTATATGCAACACCTAGTTGCCACTTAGTATTATGGTCTAGTAATATTTTTCTTTACTTATAAATGAGAATTCTTAGGTTCGATTCTTGCCAAATAAGAATTTGAACCACATCGTTACTAACTCATTGTGAGGGTTAACTTACCTCTTTCTCTTAGACCATCTCCAACCCTTGAGAATAAAGCTTAAAAATTTAAGTCAGAAAATTCTAAAGTCAAAACCTAGAAACTATTTTTCTCATCTAATGGTTATTATCACATCCCAGCACGAGCCTTCACCACGTCCCGGGCTCGACTCTGTCGTAGCACAATATTGTCCGTTTTGGGCCCTAACCACGCCCTCACGATTTTGTTTCTGGGAACTGACGCGAGCAGAACTTTCCAGTGGGTCACCCATCCTAGGAATGCTCTGGCCCCGTACTCGCTTAACTTCGGAGTTCCAACGGAACCCGAAGCCAGTGAGCTCCCAAAAGGCCTCGTGCTAGGTAGAGATGAGAATATACATATAAAGCATAGAGGATCCACTCCCTTGGGTGATGTGGGATCTAACAATCCACCCCCTAGGGGCCCGACGTCCTCGTCGGCACACTTCCGCCCAGGGATTGGCTCTGATACCAAATTGTCACATCCCAGCCCGGACCCCCACCACATCCCGGGCTCGACTCCGCCGTAGCACGATATTGTCCGTTTTGGGCCCCGACCACGCTCTCACGTTTATGTTTCTGGGAATTCACGCAAGCAGAACTTCCCAGTAAGTCACCCATCCTGGGAATGCTCTAGCCTTGTACTTGCTTAACTTTGGAATTCCTACGGAACCCGAAGCCAGTGAGCTCCCAAAAGGCTTCGTGCTAGGTAGAGATGAGAATATACATATAAGGCATAGAGAATCCACTCCCTTGGACGATGTGGGATCTAACAATTATGGCTTAAAATTTTAGCCAGAAATTATTAAATAATGATTTTAGCCTAACTTTTTGGGTAACTTTTTTGAAATTAAAATTTATGTAGATTTCTTAATTTATTTTTATGAATATTTTAATTTAAAATATATTTTAAATTTTGATAAGTAATTAAAAGGAAATCATACAAATACATAGGTAATTATAAGTGAAATTTGATTTAAATAATTTTTTTTTTAAATTAGTTTAGACATTAGATTTAATTTTGGACTATCAATCTTTTTTTGTTATTAAATTTAATCTCATTAATCATAGCTGTTGAATTATAAGTAAAAAAACAAAAAAAAAATGTTTTGAAATATGACAGTTTGATGGGTCTAGAATTATTTAAACCAGACTTAATTTCTGAGGGGGGTTTGACCCAAAAATATAATTTTTTTCCCTAGGTCTTATTTTAGCCCAATAGTTAAAGATAGTCAATGTGACATCCCACATCGCCCAGGGGAGTGATATTTATATGTTTATTCCCATCTCTACCTAGCACGAGGCCTTTTGGGAGCTCACTGGCTTCGGGTTCCATTGGAACTTCGAAGTTAAGCGAGTAGCGCGCAAGAGTATTCACATGATGGGTGACCCATTGGGAAGTTCTTGTGTGAGTTCCCAGAAACAAAACTGTGAGGGTGTGCTGGGGCCCAAAGTGGACAATATCGTGCTACGGTGGAATCAGGCGGGGGAAGTGGTCCCGCCCAGGCTAGGATGTGACAATTTGGTATCAAAGCCAAACCCTAGTCGCGTGTGTGCCGAAGAGGACGTCGGGCCCCTAAGAGGGGTGGATTGTGACATCCCACATCGCCCAGGGGAGTGATCCTTATATGTTTATTCTCATCTCTACCTAGCACAAGGCTTTTTGGAAACTCACTGGCTTCGGGTTTCATCGGAACTCCGAAATTAAGTGAGTAGCGCACGAAAGTATTCCCATAATGGGTGACCCACTGGGAAGTTCTCGTGTGAGTTCCCAGAAACAAAACCGTGAAGGTCTGCTGGGGCTCAAAGCAGACAATATCGTGCTTCGGTAGAATCGGGCCTGGGAAGTGGTCCCGCCTGGGCCAGGATGTGACAGTCAAACTAAGATTTTAAAGGATTTTAAAAGTGATAGATTTGATAGGATTTATGAGGATTTAAGACTCCTACAAAATTCATATGAATTTTAAAGAATTTGAATGAATTTAGTTTGTAGATTTTGGTGGAGTGTGGTGGATTTTCATATAATTTTTTTATTGAAAAAAAAATGGAAAAATCTTTCCCCTTGACCTACTGTACTCAATAGCCACTTTATCCCCTCCCTTTTTGGGTCCCCTTTCACACAACCATGACTCCATCTCTTTCTCAATTGATAGATCAACATAACTTTGGTGAGCTTTTGAGCACTACACCACCAACAACCATCACCACGTACCACAGATATTAAAAAATCAGAATGGCAAGATAATAGTATTAACCAAAATCCTAGATCGATCATTTCATTCGATGATCATACATGCCTAATTAAGGTCTAAGGGTCATAATAAGAGATTCCACCAAAGTATATGGTGGTTACCTGTGTGTGGTTGGGGTTGGTAGAGATTTGAGGACTGCCCAGATGAAAAAGGATTTGAAATCCTAGGGGGTGAGGTTGGATTCTTTTTAGTTTTGGTTATATATACTTCTTGCTCTCAAATTCCACAAAATCCACAACTTATTGAAATCCTCCAAAATCTTAATTTTTTGAATACACTTAGATTTGGATGGATTTTAAAATCTCTTAAAATCTTTTAATTGACTACACTAGGATTTTAAAGTCTTTTAAAATACTCTCAAATCCGAGTCTGACTACACCTTCCTTGTATTTAAGTTTTATTTCATGAGTTAGAGATGATTTTAGAATAGATAATATCGTTAGTTAAGAAAATGGTCCAATTGCACCAGATAATTTATGTCTGACCGTGTGGGCCCCAGTCAGAAATAACTAGACAAAATGCCATTTTCAAATTTGAAAACGTAAGGACGATAAATTGACGTTTTAGATGGGTCTGGATTCGGGAAGAAGCCTATTGTATCTTAACTGGCTTTCCCGGCATATCTTCACTTGCTTGAGTTGAGTTCCTTCTTCCTTTGTATTAAAACACACAATTCTAGCCTTCTTCACTATCAATCAAATCTCCCAAACCCTAACCCTAACCCTAACCCTAAAAGCATATCCACAAAATTAATTACTTTAGCCATCTTCAGTCTAAACACTGCTAGGGTTTCAATTCTATTCAATTCAATCGCAATGGCGCCTCCGACCAAACCCAACAAGCTAGCCACAGACGATTCGGAGACGCCGTCCAACAATCTCTGGGTTGGGAATTTGGCCAGCGACGTCACCGACGCCGATCTCATGGACCTTTTCGCCCAATTCGGTGCTTTGGATAGCGTCACCACCTACTCCTCCCGGAGCTACGCCTTCGTCTTCTTCAAGCGCGTCGAGGACTCCGCCGCTGCCAAGGAGGCATTGCAAGGTGCCCTTCTGCGCGGAAACCCTGTTAAGATTGAGTTTGCCCGACCGGTTCGTATTGATCTTTGTGCTTCGTTAGGTTTATTTGATTGTTTTTGTTTGATATTTATCGATTTCTTTGTTTTTCAAACGCGGGGTTTATTTGATTTCAATCAAATTGTGCCTCCCGATTTTCGCAAAGTTGAGTATGAGTGATGCGCTTATTAGATTATAAACTAAAGAAATTGGGAAAGTTTCGCTTACAAATCTAAAAGGTTAGGCATGAAGAAACATAATTTAGAATGAGAAACTGAGAAGTATATGGACGCAGATAATTTTCCTTCCAGCGTATGTTTTTAGTGGGAAACTAAGTAACCCTTGTTTTGCGCCACCGTATGTTCTTAGGTATCCCATTCTAGAGTGCTTAGAATCAATAATTTTCATTCCAGCGTTTCTAAATGCTGCAAAAGTAGATAATTTTCAGGATGTGAAGGATATTTATAATGTATCATGCATCCATTGCTAGGATTTTTCCAACCATTTCATGAAATCCAATTCTTTGTAAAAGTTTAACAATTAGCAAGATGCGTGCTAGTGTGACCATTTGAATCCATAACCAATTAAGTCTCAAAACTGCGAAACAGAATTTACATCAGCGGTTAGGTCTCTGACTCTCCCCATGTATAACTTTTGTAATATAATAAGAATTTGGTAGTAGCTTAGCTGTTATTTGAAATATTCTTCTTCTTTTTTCCCCGCGGGTAGGAGTGATTTCAAATATTATTGTGACCTGCATATCAGATGTTACAAAACATATATACATATGCTCAACTCAAAGTTGTGAATCGATCTCACTTAGTACAAAGGGGGGTTTCAGTCGAAACTGAAGCACCAAAATCAATATGTGTGCACACACCAATCTCAAGGCTCAGTTATGAGTTATGAACATTTTGAAGTCCAAAAACCATTGAAACGAATCCCTTAAACATCCCCATGCTCCAAAACAGCAAAACGAACGCACAACTTCAGCGTTTGTTGGTCTCTGCGAATCACTAAATACAACCTCCCAGTAACATGATAGGTGGTTGATTTGAAATCCCTTTGTACAGATAGGTGATTGATTTCAACTTAAAGGCACGTCACAAAATTATGAACCGATGTTAAAAAGTTGCGTTTCAGTTTCATATTAATTTAGCACCAAAATAGGCGTGTTTCAATTTCAACTTGAGCACAAAAATTGATATATGTGCACTCACCAATCTTAGCTGTGCTTTATATAACCATTTCCAAGCTCCCAAACTGCAAAACAAACACTATCTCCTGTGAATCAAAACTGTGAAACAAACACTACCAACTGCGAAAGATCAGCTATGATTCCTATATTAAATGATTTGAAATCTTATTTTACTCGCATTGACTGTACACAACACTTATGACCTCGACAAATAACTAAAACGCTTACCAATGCCAGTAAGTGCACAAAGGCGTGTTTCTGTTTCAAGCTAACACCGAAGTGTGAGTGTTTGTGTAAGCAAGAATCTCAAAACGATAGTTAATCAACTGTATAGTTGACCAGATCTGACAAATTCTAGTTTGATGGCCTGAATTAACTATGTACTAAGCTTCACTGTCTTCTTTTACCACCCATATAGCGTATATTTGAAATCCTTTGATTTTTACAAATTCAGCATAACTGTGTTCCAAGAAATGAATTAATAGGAGAACAAGTGTTGTGGAACGGAAGTTACAAAATGATTGTATAATTTATATTAATTGGATCAGATGATGTCACTGTGCATCTCTCTATTTTTTTTTTTTGTCTTGCAACAAAAGGGTAGGCCCATAACAAAATTCACAAAGAAAAATTAAACAATGGTAGGGATACAACATTGTGAAACAGAGGTAGATGTCTCTCTTATGTACTTGTACTGCGCTCTAGTCTTGGTCACACTACCACTCACCTATCAGTAACCTTTGAATCTCCATCCTGCCACCTATTTTATAGATGACAAAAGGTTACAATTGTTGCTTCTCATTTAAAAATTTGCTGCAACAATACTTAAAATGAAAGACGGGGATGGAGGAAGAGTGAAACCTAAGGTCATTAGATATTTGCAAATATGAAGCTATAGAAAGACAAAACCTAAGGTCATTAGATATTTGCGAATATGAAGCTATAGAAAGACAATCATACAATATCGTGTTCAGGGTGAGGCAAGGGGCATAAATTCATTGCTGAAAGAGAGATGTGATGTTGTAGTGTAAAGACTCCATTTGATTCTTCACAAAATAGGAACAGAAACAAGTGTCCTAGTTGCTTCTATTGCCTTATCAAAAGGGGGAATAGATATGCAATATGTTAATCATGTTTATTTGTTTTTTTCCCCATTTATTTTGTTGACAGTGTGTCTTTAGCTTTTCGTAGCATGAAATCAACCTTATGCGCCTAAAATCATCCCAAGCGCTGCTAATGTGGCTACTAAGCTATTTCTTTGGAAAGCTCCTACTAAGATGGGAAATTCCCCGATAAAGCTGCTAGTAACGGGTGAACTCATAGTCTTAAGTATGAATGCATTAGCTCACTGAATATGCTGGCGCAGGCATTCCACTGATGTGTTCTTGACTACGCATGCATTAGCCCCCATGTCCGGATGTGGCTTACTTCAAATTTTTTATGCATTCGTCTTGCCATTGTTTTTTTTTCTAATACTTCACAGTTTAGTAATACATGTGATTTTCTTCCTCTGCTTAACAACTGTTATACAAAGTGTTTTTACTCTGAGATGACTTTGTTTCACTTATTGTTTATTTTTTTCCTCGCCTTGAGATAAATTTTTGCAGCTTTTTACATTTTTGGGGAGCTGAAATTTGTCGTTCTTACACACTGTTCACAGGCAAAACCTTGCAAGAATCTATGGGTAGGTGGAATTAGCCCATCTGTCTCAAAGGAAGAATTAGAAGAAGAGTTTTTTAAGTTTGGAAAAATGGAGGACTTCAAGTTCCTTAGAGACCGTAATACTGCATTTGTTGAATATTTTAAATTGGAGGATGCTTCCCAAGCAATGAGAAACATGAACGGGAAGAGATTGGGTGGTGACCAGATACGTGTTGATTATCTTCGATCACAACCCTCGAGAAGAGTAAGTTTATTATTCATAACTTCAATGGTATTTCCATGGGAATATTATTGCGGTTCCAGGACTTTGTAGGTTAGCAGAAATATTGCGAGCGAAAATTCGCTAGAGAGCAGTAATAGGCTCACTGTGTGGCAAACTCAGTGTTGTCTGGTGCTGATACTTTGTTGTGAAGGATTCTTTCTAGGGCTATGTGGGTGTCTAAGGACATGACACTCCCACCTGAGTAACAATGCCAAACATATTACACTTTTTAAATGGATAGAAGGAAAGGAGTTCACTGTTTTAGAAGGGTTATGCATTTTTGTGGAGATACTTGTTGTGTCTAATATTTCAATCATTTTAGTAAATATGAAAATTTTCCATGATAACTAATGGGAAACGTTGCCTTTCTATATGCATATTTTTGAATTTCATAAACTGATAATCATTATTTTGTTGTTTACATGGAAAAGAAAAGACCAAAGAAAAACTAAGAAACAATTAACCTAGGCCGGGAAACACCAGCCATATTATCAGCAAGAATTTGAATCAAACAATCAGGAGGAGCATCTATTAACAATTGTTTATTGATCAGTGTTCTGTGATTAATGCATGATTTGCTTGTTCGCTGTAACATGTCTGTCTTCGGTTACTTATTAAAACGCTTTCTGGTTTCCTTTGCTCTTTTGAACAGGAACAGTGGCCTGACTACAGAGATGGACAGTTTCCAGCCAGAAACACGGGGCCTGATTCTCACAAAAGACAACAGGTGAGTAATAAGCTACATACAGTGTTCTACTGGAGATTGTGAACTTTTAGAATGTTGATTGTGTATATGTTTGTTGCTTCATAAGAATGATTTGTTTGCTGGTTACACAAGGTGCATCTTACCTCCAATATATAACTTGAGTTGTAGACTTACCTTTGGTCCTAGGATCTGATTTATGGATTTGTGGGTTAGACAGAAGATGGAAATCTGTATGTGAATTCCAAATGGGAGTAAACTTCTCAGTTGTGATTATTTTCTCAAAGTTTTGTTTTATGTTGCAGTATTCTCAATCTTCTGGGGGACGAAAAGGTGACAGCCAACCCAGTAATGTTCTGTGGGTTGGTTATCCTCCTTCTGTTCAGATTGATGAACAAATGCTCCACAATGCCATGATTTTGTTTGGTGAGATTGAGAGAATTAAAAGTTTTCCTTCAAGGCACTACTCCTTTGTTGAATTCAGGAGTGTAGATGAAGCTCGGCGGGCCAAGGAGGGCTTGCAAGGCAGGCTTTTCAATGATCCTCGGATTACAATTATGTTCTCAAGCAGTGGGCTGGCACCTGGGAAAGATTACCCTGGCCCTTATCCTGGAGTCAAAGGACCTAGATCAGATATGTTATTCAATGAACATCCGTTTCGGCCTTCACAGATGGACATGTTTGGTCATAACCGTCCAATGATGTCTAATAATTATCCTGGAGCTCTACCACAAAATGGCATTGTTGGACCAAATGCTCCAATGAGGCCTTTAGGTCCTCAAGGTAGGTTTGACCATCTGCTTTCAGGCCCCGAACTTAATGATTTGGCGTCGCTTAATAATTATCAAGATGGAAATTCCAAGAACCTGATGGGTCCCAACTGGAGGCAGCTGTCTCCTCCCACACCTGGGGTCGTGTCTTCTCCTGCGCCTGGTATTAGGTCACACATGAGACCTGCATCTAGTGCATGGGACGTTTTGGATGTTAACCAATTTCAAAGGGATGCTAAACGGTCAAGGATAGATAGTCCTTTGTCCATAGACGACCCTCCATATCCGTTGAGAAAGATTGATGACCATGGATTAGGGTTCGACTCGTCTTATGGACTTGGTCCTGTAATTGATGGAGGTGCTTCTGGACCGTCTATGAATGTCCAAGGGAAGAATCACCTTAGTCCAGCTGGTGTAAGGGTCTCAGTCGGAGGGCTTCCTGATAATGATTTTATATGGCGTGGAACTATTGCTAAGGGTGGAACGCCTGTTTGCCATGCTCGCTGTGTCCCTATAGGAAAAGGAATAGGAAATGAGCTGTGAGTACAATTTTCCTTTCATCTTCTGTTTTTTTTCTTCCATTTTCTTTGGGCACTCGAATGGCATATTTTATTTGTTTTACTAAGAACATGTACATGGATTCCTCTGTGCTATCTACTATGGTATTCGTGTCAAGTTACCAAGAAACCATAGTATTTCACACTTGTTCATATTTATCTGTGCAATATCAGCTTTTTCATGATTACATTGGCAACTGTTATACATTCTCAGTATTTTGGAAACTAAATTATGGTTTCAACTGATGTTCCAACTGGTGTATCATGAAAGAGGGTCTAAGTGAAGTTGATCAGACGCCTTACTGCACACTTATAAAACAATATCGTTTAGCGTGTAGGCTTTTTTTGTCTAATGCATGTTCTATGACACCCTTTTTTATTTATTTAATGTATTTTATGTATGGATAGATGAAGCCGTTACTATTAGCAGTTTGTCTACTTTATGCAAGAATCCCCTGAAGCATTTCCCTTTTGAACTTAATAAGACTATTAGCATATAAGGGTACAATAGTCACCTAATTATTTATGTGAAAATTAACATAATTATTTATTTTTTATTATGATCTTCCTTTCAGAGCTACCTATCCGGCTATCCCAATGCTTTAAACTTTTCTTCTTTATGGTTTTGCAAGTTTATAGTCTCAGACTAATACTTCTTACCCTATCCTTCACCCTAAAGAAATAATATTTGAGTTAACTCGCAATCATACGTTCCATATGTATTTCAGCACGTAGGTGAATAGTTCTAGAAATGTATAAATTAAACAACTTGGTTATAATGTAGTTAAATCCTTATTATGGTTACTAAAAGCACAAAAGTGAGTTCAGACTTCCTAATATCCCTCTTTATTTTCAAACTGTTTCCAGACTCCATGATTTTGGACTCCCAAAATTTTTATTATGTTTCTTTTGTTATATTTCTGGATAATCTTTGAAATTAAACTTAGTTGCCCCGTATCTTATATCAGCATGGGTTGTGATTGGTGTGTGACTAGAGAATTCTCTTGTTTGTGTTTAATGTATTTGTATTCTGTTTTGCAGTCCTGGAGTTGTTAATTGTTCGGCTAGAACTGGACTGGATATGCTCACAAAACATTATGCTGAGGCCATTGGATTTGATATAGTATTCTTCTTGCCAGATAGTGAAGATGATTTTGCTTCCTACACTGAATTCCTTCGTTATCTAGGTGCAAAAAACCGTGCTGGTGTTGCGAAGTTTGATGATGGGATGACCTTATTTTTGGTACCTCCTTCAGATTTCTTGAAGGATGTTTTGAAAGTTGCAGGCCCTGAACGTCTGTATGGTGTGGTTCTCAAGTTTCCACAACAAGGTCCTAGTACTGCTTCCATGCACGAACAGATGCAGCCTATGCCACCTTTACAGTTTATAGACAGACAGCAGATTCCTTCTTCACAAGTTGAGTATAATGTAATCCCACCGAACGATGATCACATTTTACCTATGGATTATAACAGGGTTTTGCACGAGGGCTCGAAGCTTTCTGCAAAACCACTGTTTCCACCTACTAGCAAGTCCTCTAGAGTGCAACCGCAAGACTATGCTTCTAGTAATAGTGCTGCAGTATCACAAGCTGGAGTTTCATTAACTCCTGAACTTATTGCCACTCTGGCCACTTTACTGCCTGGAAATGCACAGCCGTCTGGTCCAGAAGGTGCTAGGGTGCCAGTATCCTCAGCAGCTAGGCATTCATTTCCTGCTTTTGCACCTAGTAAAGTATCCTCTCCTGGATGGAAACAAGATCAACAAATTTCTGATCATACTGGTCATGCATTACAACAGTTAGGTAGTCAGTTTAATCCACATGAACAGAATCTTTTGCAGTACCAGCCTTATCCATCTGTTCCAAACTCATCCAACCATTCTGCCCCAATGGCCCTTGGTATCAACCAAATCCCAGACTCTTCTACCAGTCAGCCCTTGCAGTCTGCAAATCCTTCTAGGCCTTTGAATAATTTTACAATCCCTTCTCAAGGTGGTGGACAAGTTACTGGATCCTCTCATCTCAGCCAGCACTATCTGGCTGAAGCTCCTCTTGGTACTCAGAAATCAGCACATGGAACAGATACGTCTGGGTTGTACAATCCACCTGTTTCTCAGCAATATAATAATTCCATGGCCTTTTCTGGTCAGACTTATGGTGCTAATTCGCAGTCTCAGACCTTTCTGCCATTAGCGGCTGAAAAGGTAAACCCAGAATACCCAAATCAAGTGCAGCAACTTCAGTCTGCACTTATTGGGGCTGGTCAGAGCGCCCCAGATGGTGAGGCTGACAAAAATCATCGGTATCAGTCGACGCTCCAATTTGCGGCTAACCTCCTCCTCCAATTACAGCAGCAACAACAGCATAAGCAAACGGGTAGTCAAGCGGGGCGAGGGTCTGGAAGTCAACAGTGATAATTATTATCCCATATAGGTATTTTCCCGTCTCTGGCCTATGGATATTTTTTTTTCTTTGCATATGATCAAATTTATGTGCTAGTATAATAGTATTTGTTTTATATTAATTAATGCCATAGGTTTAGCACATATTTCCTTGGGCGATTGAACAATATGTGATATGCTCTTTCTAGAGAAAAACACATCTTTTGGAAGTATTAGTCGGCCAACTCATGTGTTTGTTTCTGCTTTTTGCATATGGTGAAACTTATGTGCTAGTATTCGTTTTCTATTACTTCATGGATAAGTTTAGCAAATCATTCTTCTTTTGATCGATCTATATGTAGTCTACACTCCTGGTTGCATAGACATCCACGTTCAGTTATTTGTTTGTGTCAGTGACTTTGTACTTTGGTATGAATGTTTTTTCTAGAGAAACATGCATCTTTGAAAGTTTTGTTAGTTGGCTAATCTATTTGTCTGTTTTCTTTTCTTTTCATATGGTGCAACTTATGTGGTTGTAATTTTTGTGTAATTAAGTCCTTAGGTTTTATAACATCTTTCCTACGAAGTAGAACTGTAGAGCTATATATGATGTGACGTCATGTCTGGTTGGATGGGGTTGCTGATGCAGAATAATATCTAGGATATTATTATTTAGTTTCCTATATTATTTTATATTTCTATTCATTATGGAATTAAGATTACTTTCCTATTTCTAGTAGATTTAGGATGGCTTTTTAGTCAAAATGGTCCTAAGATTGGCGTAACTCCTCAATTTGATCCTTGAGATTTGAAATAAATAGAAGTGGTCCATAAGTTTGTCCCCTAATTATTTTGGTCCTTCCATGAAAAATCTCCATTAAATAAGAATAAAGTGACAAAAATACCCTCAATTTTTGTCAAATCATTTTCACGCATTGGTTATTAAAATGAGGGTATTTTAATCATTTTGGTCCTTTTTAACAGAATTTTTCACGGAATGACTAAAATGATTGATGGTGGACAAACTCAGGGACCACTTCTATTGATTTCAAATCTCACAGACCAGAGCGAGGAGTTATGGCAATCTCATGTACCATTTTGGCTAAAAAGCCATATAGGATTCTTTCATATTTGTTGTAGGATTAGATTACTTACTATAAATATGTGCTTTGTAATTGTATTCGGGCAGTTGAATTATTGATTAAATGGATTTTTTCTGAGTCTTTCTTTATTCTATCTCGATCGTCTTCTCTAAAGTTCTATTTTAATCCTCTGTCTGATTCTTAGAAATTCTCCTCAACCTCCCTATCTACTATTTCTCTGATCTAAAGTTACATACTGGTACTACATCACTTGCTGCAGGCATAATTGTATTCCGTGATTTGTTTGTAGAGTATGGTTTTGGTTTCATCAACATTTTCAATATTGTAGAGTAGTTGGCTCGTGAGTGTTCATGCATATCTAGATACCAAAATATCTTCATAAATAAAGAAAAATGTTGTACCAGTATTAAATTATAATTTCTATAAATGTACTTTTCTTTTTTTACAAGCAAATATGTAACAGGAGTATATCACATACCCATACCAGTATCCTGGCTATCCGGGTATGTACCCAATTAGACAATATGATTTTTGCATCTCGTCTATATGATGTAAGCCCATCAGTTTCAATTCAGAAAATGTTGAGAAATAATCTAGAGCGCATGCATTTGAATCATATTGCTTTGATTTGAATGTAGAATTGAAGATAGTTGTCACATTCTGTTTTAGTTACTTTTTCCCCGGGGAGAAATGGGCTTTTCACAGCCATGATCTTTGGAGAAGGATGGAATGTTTGGTATCTATCTTCCTATCAGTAGTTGACAAATAACTTGATATTATCGTTTGAAGATTATTTGAAGGAAGGAATTGGGGTTTGGTTTTGGGAAGATGTTTATCAGTGGTGACTGTTACTAGGGTTATTTTGATAGAAGGGAATGTGCAGAAATTTGGGGATGTGAGGGGTAAAAGTCTATGTGGGGAGGGAGAGGGTTCGTTGTTTGGGTTTGTCTTTGGGTATTGGTGTCAGCAAAGTCTAGGAAGATGTTTGCTGTTGCAAATTGCGACCATGAGCAAATAATGGTTTTTGTAAACTGGATTGCTTGATCACAAGCATGCAAAAAGAATAGACATGTTCATCCTTTCTCGTTGGATGTGTGGGTACACGAGAAAGGATAAGATTATGAATGAGGATATCCAAGGTAAAGTAGGACTAGCCGAAATTGAAGGAAAGATGAGAGAAAATCGTTTACGGTGGGTTGGACATGTGAAACAAAGGTCTACTGATGCTTTGGTTAGAAGATGCGATTATGGGATAGAGGTTTAGGGCCGAAGGGGTAGAGGAAGACCTAGAAGGACTTTGGAAGAGACTCTAAAAAAAGACTTAGTATTTGGATCTAACGGAAGACGTGACACATAACCGAGTGCAATGGCGTTCTAGGATTCATATAGCCAACCCTACTTAGTGGGAAAAGGCTTCGTTGTTGTTCGTCAGATCATATGGCATGTTTTTCAGTTTATGACAAAAGAAGACTTTGTTGAAGGGTTTTATCTTCTTTTTCTTCCCATCAGTATGCTTCTACCATGCAGTACGCGTTAATTTTATTATCTGTAGGTTAAACTCATTCCATATGGCTTATTTTCTTCTGTCTTTTTGAGACTGACTTTAGGGCCTTGTCAAATTGTAACTATCATATGTAATTATGTTTTGTAAAAATTCAGCTGTTTCTTCGAACTCTGAATCCTTTTGGTTTCTCTGGGAATAACGTGACGACTTGTTTAGTCGAGGTAAGTCCAGGGAAAAACATGTTCTTGGAAGAATGCTACTGACGAATCTTAGGCGGTTACTAGGCCAAGCTTTCAGCTCCCATCCATCCGATTCGATTCTATGCAGTGTCTTGCTAATTTCGGCATATATAGGAACATATGAAACAATTTACTCTCCTATGGTGTTCTCTATGAAACAAAACTAGTAAATGTTTTAACACTAACAGAAAAATGCGTTATAAAAACCTTCTACTTCATTTTTCTTAGGATCTCGGAGGTTATACACCACCCTCGTTTGTTTTGCTTTTGGTTTGAGTGAAAATTATAGATGACAGCATACCGAGAATGTTGAACATCACATTGTTATCCGTCTATGATAGAAACCACCTACCGTTGCTGCTTCAACCTTACAATTGCAGCTATGGCAGAAATGGATGAAGGAGACGGAGCTGAGGTCCAGTGAAATGCTATTTTTTAGTTAATAAAAGTTCATAACTGTTACGAGAGCTGGACATTCCACTAACAAACTATCTTTAGTAAAGGCAAATCAACATAACAGAAACTTTAATTATTAATATTATTGAATGAGGAAATCACTAATCCTTTCATCACTCCCCCTTGAAGAACAAGCTTGTCCTCAAGGCTATTAAAGTTGAAAATCTGGAAATCCGGAATGGAACTCTTCATAGTCTTCCCAAGTAGTTGTAATTCCACTCAGCCCAGGATAACCAATGAACCCATTTCTTAGGCTAATTTCCTGCAAAAGACTTCAGGTAGGTTTCAAGACATCTATTTACCACCTCAATTTGCCAATCTCTCTGTGGATGGTAACCAAGACTCATGCATAGCTTTGACCCTTGAAACTTAAAGAATTCCTTCCTAAAAGCACCAAGGAATATTGGATCTTTGTCACTAACAATGGTAGGGAGCTTCCCATGTAGTTTAAACACATTGTCAACAAACAACTAAGCCAGTATAGGTGCGTGTTAATGACAAAAAGTGAGCATACTTCGTGAGCCTATCAACCACAACCATTATAATCGATTTACCCTGACATGTGGTAGCCCAACAATGAAATCCATACTGACATCAGTCCAAAATTATTGTGGAATAGGAAATCAACCATTATAACCGATTTACCCTGACATAGTGGCAACCCAACAATGAAATCCATACTGACATCGGTCCAAATTTACTGTGGAATAGGAAATGGTTGAATCAAACCTGGAGGAGAAGGAGTTTCATACTTATTCTGTTGGCAAGTGTTGCATTCAGAAATGAAGGCTTTGATGTCTTTCTTCAATCCAGGCCAATAGAAGCCCCTTGTGATCTTGTGATAAGTCTTCTGTACACCTTGATGGCCAGCAATTGGGGTGGAAGGGTGTTCTTCCAATATGTTCAGCTTCCAAAGAGAGTTAGGACTAATCACAATCTTGTTTTTATATTTCAAGAAGCCATTGTCCATTTGGTAATGAGACTAAGTAGGTTCCCCAGAAGGATAGACTTTTCTTCTTCACAATCTTGAGTTTTTGCTTAATCCACTCATCCTTTTCATTTTCTCTTCTCAATTCATCTAACCACCCAAAATAGGGTTAAGAAATGGAAGAACAATTGATTTCTGTCAATTCTGTGATATCACTAGAGTTGGAACCATGAACCCTTGAAAGTGCAGCTGTCGCCACATTGTCACACCCTTTCTTATACCGGATCTCATAGTCAAATTCTAGTAATTTGGATACCCACTTTTGTTGAAAAGGAGTATTTGCCCTTTGATTAAGAAAGTACTTCAAACTCTAGTGATCAGTTTTTATAATGAAGTGTCTTCCTTGAAGATAGCTTTGCCATTTTTTCACAGCATGCACTATAGCAATAAGCTCCCTTGCATAAGTTCATAAGTTGACAGTTTTTGGTTCTTAGGTCCTAGAGCCTGATTAGTAAAGGCTATAGGCTTCCCTTGTTGTAAAACTGCCCCTATGCCATTACCTGAAGCATCACACTCGAGTTCAAGGGGCAATGCAACATAACAGAAATTTAAACTATTAATATTGGTGAAGAAGGAAATCACTAATCCTATCAGTCTATGCCAGCTCACCTTTTGTTGACTCTGCGTCCTCTAGGAGTTTTGTCGCTTAGATTTGCAGGAACTAAAGGTTTTACCTGCAAGTGAGGTAGGGAATCAAGGACTCAACGATCGCTAAAGAAACAAATACAGGTGTTCTTTCTGGATGTCACTGCCAGTTTATATCTCCATTGCTATTTGAAGTTTACCTAGCACGAATCTTCGATAACCATATTGTTTTTCGCGTTTTTGAGTTCATATTTTCCCTCCCACTGACATTGAAATTCCGCTTTGGTTTGCCGAGGGATGTGCCATCTGCGTATTCAACCTTTGTGTTATACGTCGTGTAATTCTTTGTTTTCGTATGCCCCAACTTACGTTTTCCTGCACTAGTTTCCATTCAAAACATTTCCACCCATCGGCAAAGCTTTCCAGTCGTTTCTTTTCTTTTTGTCTTGTGAGCAAAGCATCATTTTCTTTCGTTGGGTTCGATAATCTGTTAAATAATGTCTCGTTATTAAGCTAATCGAGCTGTGTAGACCACTGATCATGCCAACTAAAGCAAAATTAACAAGCGTTTATATTTGGTTTTTTATTTTCGGGGTTGTAACGAACGTTTCTGTGTGTAATTGGACTTGTAGATGTTCGGGGTAAATTTGGAGTTTCACGTAATCGACGACCGTTTTGCAATCACCAAGAGAGAGGGTCCTTCGGAGAAGCTCAAAATCCAGGAGATATTTTGTGTAAGCTTAAAGGTTAAAAAGCACGTTTGGCTTGTTTCAAAAGGTCCACATGACTACTTTTTTTTTTGTTTTGTTTCAGTTTTTTCAGCACATACAAATGCAGTGATGTTGCCCTTTGTTTTTTTTTTTTGTTTTTCGTTTCCTAGATTGTTAGTTTCAACCTGCTCTTTAATTGAGCATTTGCGCGCGCTCTCTCTCTCTCTCTCTCTCTCTCTCTCTCTCTACCATTAACAGTAGTATTAGTTAGTGTAGTCCGAAGAGGTTTGAATTGGAAAAAAGAAGAAGAGCATACCAGATGGCATTGTGTCTGCTCAGAATTTCTACTCCGTGACTGAGAAATTAGAGGCCCTGCGCTCGGAAACTATAATATTTAGGCACACTCTCTTCCACGCCCATGCTTAGAGCGTCCAAGTAAACTAGCTGCTAAAGCTCAATTCAACATGATTAACCAATATTTGACCCAAAAACAAGAAGAAGAAGAAGATTAACCAATACTGTTTTGTTCTAGTTGACGGTGTGTTGAAATTTATGGAGTTTAATGGATTTGTAGATATTTCATGTAAAATTTTGATTCAATTCCCTTGAAATCTCATGAGAAGATGTGAGATTTGTGGATGCTTAAAAT